TCCTCCTCCTCCTCAGTGTCCCCCAGCCCCCCGGCCTGGGCATGCCAGCCCAGCCTCTGGCTGTGAACAGAACCCTACACTTCCCCGGGGAGGTCCCTGCTACCTCTTTAGTCTTGGAGACTCGGCCCCTCCTGGGAACAGAGCCGGCCGTAGGGAGGCTCAGCCAGGTGAGGTGGGCGACCCTCAAAGCCATGGTGGAGGGGCAAAAGGCACAGGTGGTGGGCAGGTCTTCAGAGCGACGGGGCTACCTGGCTGTGGGCTCCTCTTATTCTGATTCTCACCTGGAACCCTGTTGCTCTATTGGCATGAGTTTGTTCTGTTTTAAATGTCTTACCTGGTGAAGTGTTGACATGGTTCATGAGAAGAGGAAGAAAAACAACCACGCCTCAGGATGACGCCCCTCCATCTTTATGTCTCCAAAGTTGGAGTGAATTGACCATTCCCTTAGCAGGAAACCCTTTCCGTGCCACCCTTACATCCCGGCCTGTGGGCCTCTCCCTGCAGGTGGCTTCGGCAGGCCCAGGTAGGAGGGTCGCTGAGGACCGTCCACAGCAGGAAGAGCAGAGCAGCCCTGGGCCCCCGGCCTGGGTCAGGGTCTGCAGTGTTCAGAGAGTGTGGGCTCACACGCCCGGGTACGTTTGTTCCCAGGCTTCTCATCTACAAGGAGGGGGGTACTTAGCTGTGAGCTAACATGGGCAGCGTTCCTGCAGAGTTCTGTGTGTCTAGCCTTGCATAATGTTTTGTAGTTTGCAGATATTTTTATGAAGATCCCATGTGACTTCAGTAGCCGCATAAAGGAGATGGGTGAGAAAATGTGGTATTTAAGTACACTACTGTTTAAATCACTTATCCTGCCACGTTCAAACAAAAAACCTGGGGGTGCCTGTCCTGGGGACCCCAAGGACCAGTGCCCACAGTGGTTGTGTGGCAGACAGCTGCACCCTGGGGCAGAGGGCTTGGACAGCGCCGGTTCTCTTGGTGAACTTACGTAGGCAATGGAAGTCAGAGCTCCTCCAGGGGACTATCTCAAAAACAGGCTGAGCAGCCCACACCGGCCCGTCTGTTGCTCAGCATGCATACTGAAGCTCCTGTCCTGAGCTCGGGTGAGGAGAGGGCATCATCCCGGTCAGCAGCCCATTCCCCAACCCATATTGAGGGTGTGGTCCCAGCTCCTAGGCCAGCAGGAGGTGATGGCACTTGGAGGTACCTGGTGAGAGGTAATGGGTCCCGGGACTGTGCCCGGGAGGGGAGGGTGGCCCCTTCCTCTGCTCCCAGGAGGGGCAGCTCCTCACCCCCCACACTGCTCCTGCCAGCAGCAGAATCACCTTCCCTCCTTGGGAGCTGTTCTGTCACCCCAGACCCCAGGGACACCTGGGAATGTGGATGAGCTTGAAGAGCTCGCCTTGGCCCTTCTCCTAAGCGGACGACCATGGGCTGTCTGTGCGGGGGAGGGAACGTGCTGCGCAGCTGGACGGCGTTCCCTGAAGCGTCAGTGAGACCCTGAGGTCCGAGGCAGTGTGGAAAACGCTTTGGAAATGGTGAAGCCCTGTGCAGGTGGGAAACACGTTGCAGCGTTGCCTGGAAACTGTTGCTCACAGAAAAGAGAGGAACACTTATTTCTTTAAAAAGCCAATAAATAGCCATAGGCATTTTGATATTGCATTCCAGAACCCTTTCTTAAAACTAATGACTGCGTGTTCTGGGAGGCTGTTACCAAGGAGAAACTAGAAACTGTGGACCCCAGAAGTGGAAGGGACCCCAGAAATCACCACAGGCCTCAGTACTAAAAGGTGGAAAGATGGGGTTGTTGTGCAGGTCACGAAGCCAGCAGGCAGGGACCTGGCTTGATTGTTCAGAAGAGACAGCTTTGCCAGCAGCACTCCATGACCTTTACAGGCTGCGAGGGCTCCCTGCAGCTGCGCTGTGGGGGCGGAGACCTCCACCATGGACTCCCTCGGTGCCTTGTCCTGTGCTGGTTTTGCCTCCAGGAGATGTGGGCTGTAACTGCAGCCTGAAACCCTTGGGCTCAGTCAGTCGCACGCGGACTTCTCCGCAGCAGCGTCACAGGCCGGGAGTGAAACTGCACTGGGAGTTAGCACTGTTACCAGTTTTGTTGGAGCTGAAACTGAGTGTGAGGATTTAGGGCTAATTGGGTAATCAAAGCGAATTAAATCCATAGGGGAAGTATCAGTTCTGGCATCACGTGGGGATGGTTATGACTCCCACATCTGTGGTCTTTATCCATTTTAATCAAGTCTAAATTATGCCATTAAGACTTATTTTTGCGATGTTTACATTACTCAGCTGGAGCAGACTTTATGCTCCTTTCTGGATGTTTCTTGAAACGCGCAGTCCTCAGCGTTGCTCGGGCAGGAAGGCTGCTGGATTGGCCGCCAGCACCGAGTGGGCGTGGTCTCTGCAGGTGGAGGTGGCTCTGCCGGAAGCCCTCGCCAGACTTCAGAAAGCTGGGCCCCAGAGGCGTGCGGAGTCTCCGAAGTGCACAGCTGCAGCCACAAGCAGCAGGCACTGCGGGGAGGGCAGGGTTAGGACGTAGGGCCCCGCCCAGCCTCGCTGGCTTCTGCGTGGTCTCCGTGGCCCTGCCCAAGGGAGGCGGTTTCCGGTTCCACGGTGAGAAGTCTGTTTAGCCTGATAAACAGTAACGCGCTCAGCTTGCTTTCTTTTCTCTAGAGACCCCTTAAACACGAAACTAACACGCTGAATCATGGAATGACCTAACATCAAGTTGGCAAACAAGAGGCTTAATTTAGGAGCTTTGATTTCCTTTGTTGAAACTGGCGTCTCCTCCAGGTTCCCGTGCTGCTGAGATTTTGTGCCGTCTCCCGGTAAATACTGGTTTCTCGGCTCTCAGCTCTCTGCCTGTCTTCGGTTCTGTGGCGAGTCTCTGGTTGGTTTGGTTTGATGCTTTGGGGCCCAGACAGGGACCTGCACCCCAACCGCCTCATCCTCGGCTCTCAGCTCTCTGCCTGTCTTCGGTTCTGTGGCGAGTCTCTGGTTGGTTTGGTTTGATGCTTTGGGGCCCAGACAGGGACCTGCACCCCAATAGGGCTGCTGTGGAGCTGGGCGCACACCCTCTGCGGAGACTGCTGCCCTGGACCTCGGCGTGTAGGCCCGGCCCGGCAGCACCTCTGGCTGTTTGGGCCAAGATGCGGGCTCTTGTTAGCAGTATTTGTGGTTGTCCCCAAGTTCAACAGTCATTTTCATAGATATTTAACTAGAACAAGCCAGGAGCGAGGCTGGCTCAGCTGTCCCGGGTGGTGTCTGAATCAGGAAGTGGCCGTTCTCCAGGGCGCAGCTGAGGATCAGTCACCTGACAGCTTGCAGGTGTTGATGGTGCGCTCAGCACCTGCCACACACTGGTTTGCATGTGTTTACAACACTGAAATGTCACGGTGGCCCCGGAAATAGGTCCTATTCTTACAACATTCATTTTTTAGATAAACTCAAAACAGAGGGTAAGTGACTTATTCCAGGTTACACAGCTAGAAAGCAGCGGGAGGGGGATTCTAAGCAGGCAGTCCCCACCCAGGACCAGAGCAAGGAGGCCGCTGTGGAAGTCACTGCAGTGAATGTGGTAAGGCGGGAGGTGTCAAAAGCAGTTCTGTGACCCACAAAGAGAAATATGGTTTATGTTGCAAGCAAGCAAGCAAGTGTGCTCGGACCAAGGAAACTGCAGCACTCGGGACCCGGCGTTTCTGTGCAGGGTGCGTGCTGATTGCTCCTTTCCGGGCCACTGATTTCTACAGAGTACAGTTTAAGACCTAAGAAAAATAAGGCCGCAGCTTGCAGGTCCAGACTGCCATGCCCTAGTGGGCTGGCCTCGCGGGACGGCCTGTTCCCGGTGTTTGTTGATCGAGTGCTGCAGAGGAACAGTGACGCTCAACAAGTAGGCCGCACACCGAGAGGTCCGACAGGAGACTGTTTGGGAAGGCAGGTCAGGGAGAGGAGAGAGAGGAAGAAGGGGCAAAGAAAGGAAGGTCCTTTTATTGGTTTTGGGCTGGGCTGTTGCTTATTTGTGAGGAGTGGGCTACTTTTAACCTGTCCCAGGCCAGATTGCCTTTTATGGGCTCGTCCTGCAGACACAGGTTTAACTCCTCTCGGGGGAGGGAAACTAAAGATAGGAGCACAGGTCGTTTTAAGAGGCAAGAAGAACCAGGAAAATGCAGCCTGTGATGGCGGTGTCAGGTGCCTAACAAGTGCTGCCAGCTCCTTTGCCCCAGAGCCCAGCAAGGAATAAGTATATAAGCATAATAGTTTCCTGTCCTTAGCTCTATCCTTTAATAACTGCCTTTCTCCTTGTCTTTCTTTTCTAAGAACGAAGCCAAAGGTTGGTCAGACTGGAACACAAAAGGTCACGAAGCACTTGGTGCTTTTGTTGTGTTCCATGTTAGATGAGTTTTTATAGAGCGAATCTCATTTCCCACTGACACTTGTTGAGATTTCAAGCATCTTGTCTCTTTGTGTCCTGCAGGGTCTGCCCATGCAGGCCTGGTCCCCAATCCTTCGGGAGGGCTCCACGGCTGCTGGCCCCTCTGGGGTTGGCGGGGGACCCCTGCTCCACTGTCTGGGAGCCCCGTTTCATCATCGGTCCTTGAGGCAACTATCTGTCGCCTGGCAGGGGACTGCAGCTCTGATGAGTCTTTGGTGGATTCTCTAGACTCTGGCACAGGAAGAGCCACGCTGCTGTCAGGGTGGATGGCGTCTTGGGTGATGCTGGGAGCCTCGCTGGCTGGTGAGCAGGGCAAGGGCTGCCAGGCAAGGGGCGGGGGAGCCTGCTGCCAGGTGCTCCGTGTGACCCGGACACCAGCATGGGAGCTCCTTGCTCTGTGGTGGCACCGGTCTCTGGTGTGCATCACTTAACCTGCTGTGGGCTCCCTGCCGTTGACTCTCCTCACTGTCTTCGCTTGTCCATCCCCTCTGCTGTGCCAGGGACTGGTGGCTGGGCCGAGGGCAGGGGGAACAGGTGGGGTGCTCTGCCAGAGGGCAGAGGGGGCAGGAAACCCTGCGGCTCCCGCGTCTGTACTTCCATAAAGTGTCTTCATTTACTGAGGGCAGCAGCCTCTTCCTGATGGGCTCCGCCTTTCCCTGACTCCCAGATTTCCCTCCCTCTCCAGAGAGAGTGGCTCTGTGGCCGAGGATGGGGCCACGATGGCTGGGCAGAGGGCGGGGCGACTGGCTGCACGTGTGTGGGCTTGTATATGTAATATGTGTGTGGGCGTGCCCGCGTGTGCGTGACGGTGTGTGTGCTTGTGCATGTGGGTGCATTATTGTGTGCACTGTGTGTGTGTTGGTGTGTACTGTGCACATGTGGGTGCATTACTGTGTGCCCGTGTGTGTGTGCACTGTGTGCACGTGTGTATAGTGCACCTGTGCATGTGTGTACTGTGTGCACAACTGTGTGTACAGTGTGTGCGTGTACACGTGTACTGCACGCACACATGTGACTTGCACACATGTGGGTGGGTGTCGTGCATTGTGCATGTACCAGGTGTACATGTGTGTACTGTGTGCACACATGTGACTTGCACATGTGTGGGTGTGCCATGCACGTGTGCATGTACCACGTGTGCATGTGTGTGCATGTACTGTGTGCACATGTGTGTATAGTGCACCTGTGTATGTGTGTACGGCGTGCACAACTGTGTACAGTGCATTGTGTGCACATGTGTGCATGTGTATATGTGTGTGCATGTACTGTGTGCACATTTGTGCTTGCAGGTGAGACTTGTGTACCATGTGCACATGTGTACCTGTGCATATGTGCTTACATGTGCTTGCACAGTGCGTGTATGTACTTATGCATGCCTTGTGTACATGCAGTGTGTGTGTGTACACACATGTGTGTATGTGTAGGCACTGGGGAAGGTGCAGGTGTCTCAGTCCTGCCTCCAGCTCCTGTATTGGGAGAAAGAGGGGTGATGTGTCTGGGCTGTGGACTGGGTGAAGGCTGTGGAAAATGGAGGAATACAGACCACTTGGCTTGGGAGGAGAGAGGCAGGCAGCAAGGTGTGAAGAGAAAGTGTGCCGCAGGGAGCCCTGCACACCTCTTTTCTTTCTGTGGAACACAGTACTTCTAGTTCTGGAACTGCTAGAGCTGTCGGTGCAGTTTCCTGATGGGTGCAGCAGCCTAGCTGGTATACAACCCCTTCCATCCACCCACCCATCCATCCATCCAACCGTCCACGTACAGTATGCCTATCCATCCATGCACTCATCTGCCTACTCACACATCTGTCCGCCCATTCATCCACCCGACTCTCCATCCACCTATCCCTGTGTCTGTTCACTCACCTATCCACCGCCCACCTATCCATCCATCCCATCCACCCACCCCTGCCCTGCACCCATGCACCAGCCTTCATGAGCAGCACCTCGCGCTACACACAGTAGCGGGTGCTGAGGAGGGGTCCTGTCCAGGAGTCACAGCCACTGGGACCCGCCTCCGTCTGTCCCTTCCCCACGCCCCTACCTGGCCTCCATCTGGCTCTGCCTCTGCAGTCCCAGGGGTGAGCGGAGCACTTTCCCGGGCTGCAGCCCACCCCAGGCAGTGCCTGCTGCCCCTTCACAACCTTCTGATGACATGTGTGCCCCAGCCCTGCTCTGCAGACTTGGAGTGGTGACAGAGAACACACCCTCGCAGAGTTCTGGGAGCACAGAGCCCCACAGGTCAGAGCCTCTTGTTGCCAATCTTGCCACCTCAGTGCCTCAGGTTTAAAAGGCTACACTGAAGCCAGGTGTGGTGGTGCACACCTGCAATCCTGATATACAGGAGGCTGAGACAGGAGGATTGCCAGGAGTTCCAGGCCAGCCTGGGCTCCATAGCGACACTCTGTCTAAAAAACACTAGCACACTGAGAGGTTGCCCATTCTTGATCTGGGGACCCTTGGCAACGTGCAGTGTCTCCCTCAAAACACATGAAACTGTGACCAGGGGCTTCCCAGTGCCCCTGGCAGGTGGACACAGGTGCTTGGTCCTGACCTGCTCCTGCTTGGTACGGATCGTGTCGGGTGTGGGTCCCTCCCGCCTGCATCCCCTTGCCCCATGGCCCCCTGTGGTCCTCTCCAGAGTCCTGGCAAGGGCCTCAGCACAGCTTCCTGCCTTGAGGGGCTCACAGGGCTGGCGCGGCACAGCAGGTGGAGAGCCACCTTCTGCGAGCAGGGCCTTGGTGACCAGACCCGTAGCCCACTTGGTGCCCTGGAGCAGCGCTTGCCCCCTTGGCCGGAGCTGGGCTGTGTGGCGCCTGCTCTGGGGACTTATGGGCTGCTCTGGTGGGCACAGGGAGGCCTGGCAGCCCTGCACCGTGGGCGCACAGGAGACCGCGGCCTGCGGTGATGTTGGGTCTGAGCGCTGGGCCGTGGGACAGCAGCGCCTATGGCGGAAGGCTGAGCTCATGTGCCTCTCCTCTCTGTCCACACAGGACTTGAGGACCTGCGCACGTGTGCCGACCCCGGTGTCCCAGAGCACGGCTTCCGGGCCCCCAGCGGAGGCGTCTTCTTCGAGGACTCCGTGACCCGGTTCCACTGCCAGGACGGCTTCAAATTGAAGGGCTCCATCAAGAGGCTGTGTGTGAAGTACCCCAATGGGACACTGGGCTGGGTCCCCAGCGACGGGCCGGTCTGCATGAAGGAAGGTGGGTGCTCGCCAAGGCCCAGCTGTGGGCGACAGAGGGGCTGGCCCACCCCCCAAGAGACGAGACACCGGGCCCTGCCGACCCCGCACAGGATTGACTGTCTACGGCCAGTCGCTGCACCCTGTGCTCTGTGGGTCCCTGGCGGGTGGGAGCCTCTGGCGGACCGCGTTTCCGGTTACCCTGAGTGTGGGCAGTGGCAAGATGCCAGTCACAGCTGCTGCTTCCCTAACGTGCTGGTCAGAAGCTTCACATCTCTGCTTTCATTCACTGCAGACCCCCTTTAGAGTTCTGAGAAGCAGGTAGGGTTCCGCTGACCGGAACTCTTGAGTGGCTAATTTTATATCCCAGACATCAGCAGGGCTGATGTCAGAATAGGTGTGAACACGACCAATTTCCGTGAGGCATGGAAATTCTATTTCATTGAGTTTCCTAGGAATTAGTTTGGATTTCTCTTGATGTTGTTATTATTTTGGGGTGAGCTTTTATAATAATCATAGGTAAATGATTATTATGATTTAATGTGTAATTCCTTTATAAAACCTAATTTAATCTGTCAAGCATTAAAAAATACCTATTATACTCTTAGGGAAATCATAAAGGATGACTAAGACAGTCTCTTGCCCTTAAAGTACTTGGTATCTTTGCCTTTTATTTTCAAGATATGCATATTTTAAAGCCCAAATTCTTATAATAAAGACTTACAAAAAGGCTGCCAGGAGGCAGCACTTGCATCATGCATCCTTAGATGCGAGCCCTGTTTCCAAGGTGGGTCCAGAACATCAGTCTTGGTGTCGCCATTTTGGAAAGTTGGAGGAACAGGCATCGCCTAAGTCTGGTAGTGTATTTATTTTTCATCCTGCTGGTAATTTGGTTGGTCTTGGAAAGTCTGTGTGGAGAGATTGCATTTGCTGCTGTGATGGTGGAGCAAATCTTTGCTGTTAGTGTCCTGGGCCCTCTTCAGCTGCGTGGTGCACTGGAGCCTCGGACACCCAGAGTCTGCACCTGGGGACCTCCTTCTTGTGTCCTGCTCCTGTCTGGTTTCTGAGTTGAGGTCCATCCTGGCCTGAGTTCTCAGAGGGTGGGGGTCTTCAGTGGTGAGGACAGTAATAGCCGGCCCGTCACAGCTCTGTAGGGCTCAGCCCAGCCGGGTCTCCGCCTTCACATGTCCTGTTAGGGAAACCACACCTCGGAGAGGTTGGCAGCCCAGGCGTGCGAGGTCCTGTGTGCTTCTCGGCGTGCCAGCCCCACCACCCAACGGGAGACGCTGCCCTGCTGGGGGCCGAGCTCCGCATACGGAGAACGCGAGCCCAGGGAGGTGCCAGGTGAGGGTCGCCCCGGGTGCCCGGATACTGCAGCAGCAGCTTCTGCCTCTGCCTGCCCCGGGCACAGCCCTGACTGCTGGGCCAGATTCCTTTCACCCCGAAGATGTCCATGTTCCTCCGGGATGGAGACCTGGAGCCCTCACCTCGGGGGCCGGGAGGAGGACGCACAGGCGGAGAGGGGCCGGGATCCGACCAAGGACAGCGTGCCCGGGGCAGGACGCAGCCTCCTGGGCCTCTACCTTCCTGACACGTGGGGCTGTGTGGGGGCCGTGTCCAGGGCTGCACCCTGCCTGCTCCTCAGCCCCCACTCCCTGCGGACCCTGTCCCGGGAGCGGATCCAGTGGCGGGACCCAGTCCCGGGGGCAGAGCGTTTTGGAGGCCACGGTCCCGACCAGACGAACACAGCACCAAGTCCGGGTCCCCTGTGCAGGGGGCAGCGTCCAGGGGGAGCAGCCGAGGAAGCCGCTGCCAGTGTGAGGCCACGTTTCCTCCTCCACTTCTTTTGCACTGGCAGGGCACAGACCAGAGGACGGATTCTGGGCTTGATTTTTAAAGGGACCTAAACGACTGTTTGCTGGGTTCCCGAGTCGGCAGTCGGCGGTGAGGTGGCGTCTGAAGCTCCAGCGTCCCTCCTGCCTGGGGTCCTGGTGCTGGAAAGGCCAGTGGGGCTTCCGCGTCCAGGCGGCTCGGGCCTAGGCACCCCCGGGTGCAGACGAAGCCGGACACACACCCAGCGCTCCCCTCTTCTGCGTCCCATCCTGCCCTGGTGCTTTGGGATGTAGAGGGAGAGTGTGGACGCGCGAGGCAGCTTTAATATTTGAGGACTCCCCGGGCCCTTGTCTGTGAGGCGGGAGCCCTCTGTCCTCCTGGCAGAGAAGGCCCTGGCCCGCCCCTCGTCGTGGCCACATCTGAGCAGCACCACGGGACACCCGGGGGCCGCTCGCCTCAGGCGGAGCCTTTGGGGTGCTGCCACCAGGACAGGGACTCCGAGAGCAGCAGCAGTGAGGCCTCAGCCCCCAGCATCCTTCCCTGCCCAGTGCAGCATCTGTGCTTCTCTCCCCACCCAGCGGCCCTACTGTGGGGTGCAGCGGGGGCTCACGGCCTGCGGGAGAAGTGCAGGACTCAGGAAGGCCACACGCCCTGGCCCTGCGCAAGGCGGAGCTGAAGCTTAGGTCCCAGCCCCTGCTTTCCATGCTCACACCACGGGCCGGGGAGGCCTCTCCCCAGGGAGGGCCACGTCTGGGAAGCATGGAGTGGGGTGCAGGTGGCCCACCGCGTGCCCCGACAAAACCCCGGAGGCGCCTCGCTGGGGTCGGAAGCGACCTGTGCGACGGACCCCTGCTCACACCCGCTGCACTTCGAGGCAGGGAGTCGCGTTTGTGTGCGAGACACCCAGGGCTTGGTGTGCAGGGCGGCGGTCGGACCCAGCTTCGAAAGGGAGAGGAGAGGGGCTGCTCTCTGGTGCTCGGCAGAGCCTCTGACAGCGTTCACATCCGGTGTCCCGAGAGCCAGCACCGCCTCTGTCCCCAGGAAGAAGCAAAGGCCTCAGAATCCGAGTAAGCGGGCAGGCGGGGCCTCACCCAGAGCCTGTCTTCTCCATCCCAAGCAGTGGGGGCCTGGGCTCAGTGTCCCCAGTCCCCTGGCAGTCCCGGGGGCTTTAGATGCCCCTGGCTTGGGCTCAGGGTGCACCAGACACGGATCCAGGGCAGCGCCCACCACACCCAGCCTGCTGTGTCTCCAAGTCAACCCTTGCTTTGCTGGGCTCTTGTAGAGTGCAAAAGACAAAAACAGGCATCTTTCTGAGCCTTGCCCCGAGGCCTGGGCTCCATAGTCCTGACCAGGATGGCCACAGAGATGAGCGATTTGGTGGAAGGCAGCTCTCCGAGTTTCCGGGCCAGGTGCCATGTGAGTTTCAGTGTCATTCTTACAGTATAAATGTTGGATTAAAGGATCCGACTGGGCTCATCTGCTAACGCCGGCAGTGGAGTTGGCAGCAGACTCCTTTCCTCACGGGAACTGTGGGCCCAGGCCCGCCTTTCCACAGCCGCTCGTACGTGAGGGTGCATGGTGCCCCCACCCCATAGCTTCCCGGACAGACGGATGTGCTGGAAATGTGCTTAGCGTCTCCATCTTCTCGGGTGTGTTTTCTGTCATCAGAATGTCTTTCCTGTGCCTTGGACCTGCGCTTTCTGCACAACAGCCTTGCCTTTGGGGGCATGTGCTCGCAGGAGTGCGTGGGTGTCTCCGGAGATCCTGCCCTGGGCCCGCTCAGGTGGCCGGAGGGGCCCCTTCCGGCCCACACCCACTGTGTCCCACTGACAGGAAGTACTGCCTTCCCAGACTCCCTCCTGTGCGGCTTTAGTGGATTTGCTTTATGTTCTTAAAAAGATTTCCTGAGCTTAAATGTGCCCGTGACTGAAAGGAAAAGAAATCCAGAGGAAGTGAAGTCAGGTCAGGCGGGGCTGAGCCTGTAGAGAAGTGACAGAAAGGACCAGTTGTCACCATGGTGAGAGGACAGCCCCAGGCCCGGGGCAAGGGTGGCAAGGCTGCCCGGCTGGTGTGAGTGCGGGGTGCCATACCCCAGTGCGACTCCTACATGGCCAAAACATCTCCAGCGCTGGGGCCCTGCTGACCTCAGTGCCGTGTTCCTGGGGCACGAGGGGCTTCGGGCCCGTGGGAGCCACAGCCTCATGCCTCACCCCGTGTCAGCATGGCCCAGAGTGGCCCTGAGCACCAAGCCAGCTTTGCAGGTTCTGCAGGAAGCAGCTGCTCACAAGCTCTGGGCTGAATCACCACCCCATGCCGGCCATGGCTCCTGGCGCGTTCCAGGATCCCAGCAGTCCATGCTGCCAGCAAGGGCTGTTTTGCCTCTCCCCTTTGAGTCTCCAACTTGGTTTGTGTCTGGGACTCAGCACCCGCTCTGCAAGGCCACCCTGTCCCTGCCCTCAGCCCCGCTGTCTACGTGCAGAGGGTCCTGTCCCTGATCCCTAGAACAAGTGTCATCCTTGCTCTGCCCTCTAAGACTTGGCCTTTCCCGTTTCCATGTAACACAGACTTGAACTTGTAATGTGATTGTGTTGTTGGGGGAAATAATGGCTTTACAATACTGAGTTTTCCAATTGAAGAACGTGGAATATTCCCCCATTTAACTCTTTGCAATTTTTCCAATAATGTTTTATAGTTTTCTATGGGTTGGGGTCTTGCCTTCTATTAGATTACAAATTACAAATCCACATTTTTGGATGCTATTGATAGATATTTTAGATTTCTAAATGGTTCATGTGTAGAAATTCGTACGTGCTTAAGCTCATTGCTAATCTCTCTGTTTGTCTTGGTAACTTCTTCCTTGCCCTGTATGCACAATGCAGCTTTCCTTTCCTGGGCTCTAACAGCTTGGTTCTCCCTGCCGCACTCCTGCTGGGCTGGGACACCAGCAGGAAGAGTGGGCCTCCTTTCCCTTCTCAGTCTCAAATGGGTGCCTCCTATGTTTTATCCGAAGGAGATCCTTCTTTATATAGTGGCACTTCGGTTCACGAGCTTAATTCGCACCACGATTCCAGTCACAGCCGAATTGGATGAGAACCGAATCAAATTTCCCCAGAAGGTCATTGAACCTCACCAGTGAATTTGATTCGGTTCTCATCCAATTGAGTTTGCAACCACACTTGTGGAGAGAAT